ATCCATACTCGTTCCCTGTCTGAGCAGTAATAAATACATCCAATCCTGATGTTAAAAAAGTATTTATATTAAGAAGTACACTTTTAAAATGTTTAACTTTAGAAACTTTACTATGAAATTTATGGGTGCTGAAACAGACGACGCTATGATGTAAAAAGACAGGTTTTAGCATATCTAGTTATACACAGTAACATAGTATTCAAAATGTGTGAATTCATATTAAAGTATATATACTGAAAAAATATCATAATAAATGACACGGGGATTTTATTTAGTAAGATTTTGTCATCAAATAGTTAAATTCACTTTTAAAAATACTTTTGAAAAAATATATGTTTAAATATATTTTACCCTTTGACTTTAGAGTCTTAAGTCTTAATAAAATTCACTAGAATATTGTAGTTGTCAAATGTCTAACTAGAATGCTCATCCTTCCTTATTTCTAATACAATGTGATTTATAAATATGCTTATTTACTGCAGGTTGCATTTAACATTTTCTGTTACCTGGTATTATATAACCTACACATACCAAGAAAAAAATTACTGTGCAATAGTAAATATTCCTACTTTAACAGAGTATAATTTTATGTAAAATTTTGCATATAACACTATACCAAGTCTCTGTAATGTTATCTACAAGAACAATACTTGCAAAATATTTATTATTTAAGGGTATGCTAAAATTAAAAGATCAAGAAAAAGAAAGAACATTGTCTTAAAGAGATTTTTTCCATTTAGACAAAAATTAATATCTTAAAAAATATATAACATACAGTGAATGTAATAAGATTAGGAATAATATAAACTCCTTTACTTTCAATTTTTTTTACCTGATTATTATATTCAATTTTAATTACAAAACACAAGATATAAAACTACTGATACTAACTTGGTATATAATCCTCCAGCCTTGTTTCTATTTATGCAGTAATGAAAATCAGTATATACAATATTATACATGTACTTTAAAAAATATTTCTATCACAGTATATGAGTGTGCTAAATTGCTTCAGTGGTGTCTGACTCCTTGAAACCCATGGACTGCAGCCTGCCAGGCTCCTGCGTGCATGGGATTCTCCAGGCAACAATACTAGAGTGGGTTACTATGCTCTCAGCTAGGGAATCTTCCAGACCCAGGGATAGAACTCAAGTCTCTTATGTCTCCTGCACTGGCATGCAGGTTCTTTACCACTAGTGCCACCTGGGAAGCCATCAGTTCAGTTCAGTTCATTTGCTTTGTCATGTCCGACTCTTTGCGACCCCATGAATCCCAGCACGCCAGGCCTCCCTGTCCATCACCAACTCCTGGAGTTTGCTCAAACTCATGCCCATTGAGTCGGTGATGCTATCCAGCCATCTCATCCTCTGTCGGCCCCTTCTCCTCCTGCCCCCAATCCCTCCCAGCATCAGGGTCTTTTCCAGTGAGTCAACTCTTTGCATGAGGTGGCCAAAGTACTGGAGCTTCAGCATCAGTGTCAGTCCTTCCAATGAACACCCAGGACTCATCTCCTTTAGGATGGACTGGTTGGATCTCCTTGCAGTCCAAGGAACTCTCAAGTCTTCTCCAACACCATAGTTCAAAAGCATCAATTTTTCGGCGCTCAGCTTTCCTCACAGTCCAACTGTCACATCCATACATGACCACTGGAAAAATCATAGCCTTGACCAGACGAACCTTTGTTGGCAAAGTAATGTCTCTGCTTTTTAATATTCTGTCTAGGATGGTCAAAACTTTCCTTCCAAGGAGTAAAAGTCTTTTAATTTCATGGCTGCAGTTACCATCTGCACTGATTCTGGAGTCCAAAAAAATAAAGTCTGACACTGTTTCCACTGTCTCCCCATCTATTTCCCATGAGGTGATGGGACCAGATGCCATGATCTTAGTTTTCTGAATGTTAAGCTTTAAGCCAACTTTTTCACTCTCCTCTTTCACTTTCATCAAGAGGCTTTTTAGTTCCTCTTCACTTTCTGCCATAAGGGTGGTGTCATCTGCATATCTGAGGTTATTGATATTTCTCCCGGCAATCTTGATTCCAGCTTGTGCTTCTTCCAGCCCAGCGTTTCTCATGATGTACTCTGCATATAAGTTAAATAAGCAGGGTGACAATATACAGCCTTGACGTACTCCTTTTCCTATTTGGAACCAGTCTGTTGTTCCATGTCCAGTTCTAACTGTTGCTTCCTGACCTGCATACAGGTTTCTCAAGAGGCAGGTCAGGTGGTCTGGTATTCCCATCTCTTTCAGAATTTTCCACAGTTTATTGTGATCCACACAGTCAAAGGCTTTGGCATAGTCAATAAAGCAGAAATAGATGTTTTTCTGGAACTCTCTTGCTTTTTCGATGATCCAGCGGATGTTGGCAATTTGATCTCTGGTTCCTCTGCCTTTTCTAAAACCAGCTTGAACATCTGGAAGTTCACGGTTCACGTATTGCTGAAGCCTGGCTTGGAGAATTTTGAGCATTACTTTACTAGCGTGTGAGATGAGTGCAATTGTGCGGTAGTTTGAGCATTCTTTGGGATTGCCTTTCTTTGGGATTGGAATGAAAACTGACCTTTTCCAGTCCTGTGGCCACTGCTGAGTTTTCCAAATTTGCTGGCATATTGAGTGCAGCACTTTCACAGCATCATCTTTCAGGATTTGAAATAGCTCAACTGGAATTCCATCACCTCCACTAGCTTTGTTCATAGTGATGCTTCCTAAGGCCCACTTGACTTCACATTCCAGGATGTCTGGCTCTAGGTGAGTGATCACACCATCGTGATTATCTGGGTCATGAAGATCTTTTTTGTACAGTTCTTCTGTGTATTCTTGCCACCTCTTCTTAATATCTTCTGCTTCTGTTAAGTCCATACCATTTCTGTCCTTTATCAAACACACCTTTGCGTGAAATGTTCCCTTGGTATCTCTAATTTTCTTGAAGGGATCTCTAGTCGTTCCCATTCTGTTGTTTTCCTCTTTCTTTGCATTTCTTTGCATGAGGAAGGCTTTCTTATCTTTCCTGGCTATTCTTTGGAACTCTGCATTCAAATGGGAATATCTTTCCTTTTCTCCTTTGCTTTTCACTTCTCTTCTTTTCACAGCTATTTGTTAGGCCTTCTCAGACAACCATTTTGCCTTTTTGCATTTCTTTTCCATGGGGATGGTCTTGAACCCTGTCTCCTGTACAATGTCATGAACCTCTGTCCATAGTTCATCAGGCTCTCTGTCTATCAGATCTAGTCCCTTAAATCTGTTTGTCACTTCCACTGTATAGTCATAAGGGATTTGATTTAGGTCATACCTGAATGGTACAGTGGTTTTCCCTACTTTCTTCAGTTTAAGTCTGAATTTGGCACTAAGGAATTCATGATCTCAGCCACAGTCAGCTCCTGGTCTTGTTTTTGCTGACTGTATAGAGCTTCTCCATCGTTGACTGCAAAGAATATAATCAATCTGATTTCAGTGTCGACCATCTGGTGATGTCCATGTGTAGAGTCTCCTCTTGTGTTGTTGGAAGAGGGTGTTTGCTCTAACCAGTGTGTTGTCTTGGCAAAACTCTATTAGCCTTTGCCCTGCTTCATTCCATACTCCAAGGCCAAATTTGTATATTACATTTAATATCTCTTTTTCACATAATAGATCCTCATTCCCCTTAAATATGAATTTCAACTGATATATTTCATGTTTAAAATATTTCTTACAAAGTTTAAGTATTATCAAATTTTATAGTTATTCAAGACAATTGTATCAATTCCAATTCATGTTTATAAGACAAAACTTAACTTTATAATTTCTCCAAATCCTTCAAAAAATCAGCCTAAATAAAATGACTGAAAATAGATATGCACTTTTGGTTTTCATTTAAAATTACTGGCATTAAATGATATTAGCTACCGTTAAAGAAGAATATGAATTTTAATTAATTCTTACCATCTTAATATCTTACAAATCAGTTTCCAAAGTAACATTTAGAGACATTAAAAGGTATTACTATGATAAATTATGTGCCTTTGCTAATAAACATAGCATTTTGAGACATCTCCTATCATATAGTAATTTCAGATTACTTAGAAACACACTATTAAATACCGTGTCAAGGGAAATTATCTGAGAAAGCTGGTACATTCTGCTATGAAACACCTCTGTTAACAGGAAAAAGAACACTGGAGTTGTAAGACTCATCTTAGTTGTGTACCTTTGGAAAATCATTTAACCTCTGCAAAGATAAATTTCGTCCACAGTAAGATTAAATTGCCCCCAGCTCCAAAGAGTTGTATAGATGATTATAGTCTGTTATAATTTAAAGTTTTTTTTTTTTTAAACCAAACTTATTTAATCCTTTGGTGGATCAAACTGTTTCAAACTAAACAGCTTTGGTAATTAAATCAAAAGATGCCTTCTATCACACTTCTTGGAATCTTGCTCATTCTTTAAAAAAAAAACCTATGAATATACTATCATATTAAAGATCAGAAGTAGGCAAACTACGGCTTATGGGCGAAATCCAGCTGGCTGGCTATGTTTTTGTAAATCAAGATTTACTGGAACACAACTGTACTCATTAACTTATGTATTATCAGTTATTTTACACTATAACGCTGGAGTTGAGTAACTGCAACAGAAACCAGATGGCCAACAAAGCCTAAAATATTTACAACTGGCATGTTAAAGTCAACTGGAAGATAAAGTCAGCTGATCCCTGCTATAAATGACTATAAGATGAATTGGACAATGGATCCAAAAGGAGTTAGGGAAGAAAAAAAAAATCAAAGTAATATTAAAATATACGCTTAAATTTTATGCCTCAAAATGCCACTCCAAAATTAAATCTAAGATTCACATGCAATTAGATCCAAAATATGAACATTCTGGTTACATAAAATATAACAACAATAGTGAAGTTTACTAATAGTTTATTTAGAATAACAAAGTATATCTTTGTGCCTCTTCAAGTTAAAGTTAATTATTATTTCTATTATAAACAGTACTTATATCTATACAAATTGCATTTTTACCTGCTAATGGCTTGCTCCTCATCAGTTATTCCAGTCTCCCTGAATGCCCTGTTTGATTCCGCCAAACTCAAGGCAATTGCTCTCTGAAGATCATCTTTATCATCTCCAGTAAGATCAATCACATCTGAAAAGCAAAACTATGTTTCTCAAAATTAAGTCAAACAAAATGAAAGGTAACTCCTAATGTAGATTTTATAACCAATATACCCTTTCAAATCAAACCCAGCGCCAACTTAATTCTGTACAGGAACCTCCCCAAAGAGAATGCAAACACATTTTAAATTGGTTATATTTTGAAATTTAATGTTCTTCCCTATAAAATCAAGAGCATAGATATTTTTCATTAGAGAAGACACAGTACTATGAAGTCTCTGATTAAAAGCTAATAAGCAGAAAGACTGCTGAAAACAGGTTCTATAATCACAAAAATTGAAAGCAACAATTAAACATTTAAATTTATGCTTTCCGAAGTTAACCCACATATACACGTTTCAGTTAGTCCATACAACCTAGACATTTATCAAAGTATGATAATTAAATGAGCTCTCAACATAACATTAGTTATGTTCCAGAAACTAATTGGCCATGTTGTTTAGTCACTAAGTCATATTCAATTCTTTTGCAACCATATGGACCGTGGCCCACCAGGCTCCACTGTTCATGGGATTTCAGGTAAAAATACTGGAGTTGGTTGCCATGACCTCCTCCAGGGGATCTTCCTGACCCAAGGATCGAACCCAGGTCTCCTGCACTGCAGATGGACACTTTACTGCTGGGCCATCAGGGAAGCCCAACTGACAACAGATACTTATATACACTTTTAAAGTCTGAAAGAATGTATGAAGCTGTCAACAATGGTTAATTTTGAGAAGGAGGATTGGGGGGAAAAGAAAGTATAAGGATCCCTCGCTTTCTAATTTCTGTTCTATGTTTTTTTAATTATAAAAAGAAGTTTTCATTTCATAAAAATAAAATACACACTACTAAATGAAATGTTTTCTTCAGTGAGAATAAAATAGTCTTGATGCTGTAAGTATTCTTTCTCAAAAGAATAAAGTCTGTAACTATTACCACATTCAGAAAAACTGCTTTGTAATCCAATTTCCCAACATCTATTGATCTATTTCCTTAACCCAAGAGATCAATTATACCTCTATTATCATTTAAACAATGGCAAACCATAACATGTTGCTAAGTAGGAGATTACAAAATAAAAGGGTGAGAAAGAGAAAGAAGTATAGCTGTTACTACCTTATCTTTGCATCGCTGGGATTATGCTGGTTAGTATTTTGGACAAGTTTTTTATTCATTCTGTTTATTTGTATTTGAGACATGTTAAATTATTTTTTTCCTTTGTAATCCAAGTATTACAAGAGTGAAACAAGAAAAAGGAGTAAGGAGTGGGACATAAGGTGTCTGCATTCTACCATCTGAAAGTGAAGTGAAAGTCCCTCAGTCGTTTCTGACTCTTTGTGACCCCATGGACTACAGAGTCCATGAAATTCTCCAGGCCAGAATACTGGAGTGGATAGCCTTTCCCTTCCCCAGGGGATCATCCCAACTCAGAGATCAAACCCAGGTCTCCTGCATTTCGGGCAAATTCTTTACCAGCTGAGCCACAAGGGAAGCCCAAGAGTACTGGAGTGGGTAGCCTATCCCTTCTCCGGCCGATTTTCCCAACCCAGGAATCGAACCAGGGTCTCCTGAATTGCAGGCAGATGCTTTACCAATTGAGCTATCAGGAAAGCCCAAAGTGAAAGTCAAAGTCACTCAGTCATGTCCGACTGTTTGTGATCCCATGGACTATACAGTCCACGGAATTCTCCAGGCCAGAATACTGGAGTGGGTAGCCCTTCCCTTCTCCAGAGGATCTTCCCAACCCAGGGATCGAACCCAGGTCTCCCGCATTGCAGGCAGATTCTTTACGAGCTGAGCCACAAGGGAAGCCCATCTAGTTAAGGATTATATGTAACGATTAAAAAAACTTTTTTCACACTTAGTAATAAATAAAATACATCAATAGATTCAAAAGTCTACTTTTATTGTTATATACACTTTTTCCTCCAAACAGTAGCTTGTAAGAATACTAAAAATATTAGAAATAACAGTTGGCCATAGAAGATTTTTTTAATTCTTTAGACAGTACAATAAAACCTTACAAAAGTGCAATAAAGTGAAAGTCGCTCAGTTGCATCCCAATTCTTCATGACCCCATGAACTATACAGTCCATGGAATTCTCCAGGCCAGAATACTGGACTGGGTAGCTGTGCCCTTCTCTAGGGGATCTTCCCAACCTAGAGATCAAACCCAGATCTCCAGCATTGCAGGCAGGTCTAAAAAAATTCAACCAAGTAAAATGTGGAACAGAGTTACAGAACCACTGCAGTGATACACCTGTCAGCAGGCTACGTCTGGTTTACACGTCCACCAAACCACAGCTGTAGATGGATGGAGTCACAAGTGTGCGTCATCATTAAGTCCAGCTGAAATATTGATTAAAGAAGCTAAACTAGAGAGGCATGAAATGGCCTCATAAAAATGAGACCATGGTCATTAAAAATGACTTAAAACTTGGATGACTAAAGAGAAAACAATAAAGTAAAGAAAATAACTTGAAAATCACAAAGAAGCAAACAGGTTTGGAGGGCTTGATCAGTTAGCCCCTCAGATTCCACCATCTCATGTTCCTAGTATGCTTTCTTCAATGAGAGAAGCCGAAAAGATTAAACACAGCAACCTATTTTCCTGATTCACCTGTAGTTACGGTTTTGGATAAAATTTAGGTTCCACCAATCGCATATACTATAGCTTGAGATGTGAAAGGCAGCTATGAGGAGGAAGGCACTCTCCTGCTGCTTTTGGCTGTTTTTTTTTCCCAGCATGACTGAACAGATGTGAGCTGCTCCACAGAAGCAATCCAGCTTCCAGCTTCAGGATGTCAAGAGAGACAGCAGAGGCAGTAACCAGACTCTGCGCTCCAGTGTCCAGGCGCAGCTCAGTGGCAGTCACCTGATCCTGGCTGGCTCTCCGTGGGCACCAGCTATAAAGCTATGTTCTCAACTGCCCCACAGGCCGTCTCCTGATTCACCGTCTCCTTGATTGTGGCAGATGGAGTAGCTTCGCTGGCTGGCCAGTCCTGCAAGAATCTGGGAGTCATTTCAGAAAGCTGAGCTAGAGATCCTTCCTCCAGTGCTCCCACCGATTTTTTTTTTTTAAACAATCTAGTTCCCTGTATTAAATTTCTTCTTCGAAATTATCTAAAGTGTTTACTGTTTCACGACTGACAAGTAAACTAAGCTGGCTAGAGCAGAAACTCACTTAGAAATAGCAGCAAGTTATATTTCGAGCTTTTCATAATTCAGCAATCGTAACTCGAGAAACACAAAATCAAAAAGTGAGGCAAGATGCTTTTAACCCTATTTCGTAAACAAAATAACTGAAGTTGCGAGAAATTAAATCTAATATCATAAGAATAAAAGAAAGGTAGACAGGCTTCAAATTTAAGTCCTCAAATTATTAAATCCAGTGGTCTCCCCTCCATTCTAGCAGTACCCAAGTGTTAACCCATGGATTCTAGGGGTTCCCCAGGGACTCTGTAACGGAAGGGGTTCCTTAAGTAAAAAACACTCTCATAAAAAATGTTATGATGTTATCTGTCTTTCCTGCTATGGTCACATTTACAGTTATTATGCAAAACAACAGGGCATTAAACCACTGTGTCTTGGCACAAATCAAGGTAGCAGCAGCAAGTTATACAAGCAATTCATTATATCACAACTATACACATTCATAATTCAAAAAAAAAAAGCCAATCTCTCTTAAATCCTTATTAAGAGAAAATTAATTTTATGAAATCTCAAACACTGTTTTACATGGTCTTTTACTTCTATGTGACAAAATTGGACATATGCATAGTAGTTCTGTTACATATGCAAAGTATGCTGTTGCTAAAGAAAAAAACACTAGTGCGTTGCTTGAGCTGCAAGTTGAACTCAATTTTTTTCATGGAGCACTATTTTTACTTGATATTACAACTGATAAACTACAAACTATGATTAATCAGACATCAGTATTTGACAGACATTTTCTCAAAAAAAAGGGGAGCCTGTCACTTGAAAAACAAATGAGACTATTTGCTGCCAATGATAACTATGGAATTTTCAAGCAGAAGTTGCAACTTCAGAAAACTTGTTTCTATCACTATGACAGAGATATCTTCCTAATACTTTAAAGGCTTTTCTGCTGAAATCAAGTGATATTACAATTTCTATTTGTTTTGTAATGTAGATGTTCTTCAAACATTTAGAAAGAAATTTTTTCCAAATTACCAATGCATTGTGTTACTAAATGATGCATAGATTAACAAGTCAATTCAAAGAGCAAGGTAAGATCCTAGGAGCATCTTTTGTTCTAATACTTGGTCTCTGACCCAGTTCCTGACAAAGAGCTCCTGTATCACTTGGCATTTTCTAGGTGACAGGAGCATCTTTTGTTCTAAAGAGATGACTCTTGGTGGGCTCCAGACTGACTTCAGGATGGGCCAGAAAGACTAAGTCATGATGAGAAGCTTGCAACTTGGAGCCCCATGTCCCATCCTCTAGAAGGATATATATGAGGGACTGGAGATTAAGTTAACAAACAATCAAGCCTACCTGATGAAATTGCCATAAAAATTCCCAAGTACAAGGTCTGGATAGCTTCCAGGTTGATGAACATATCCATACGCTGGGAAGGTGGTATATCTTAACTCCACAAGGCAGAAACTTCTGGCTTGGGACTTTTCCAGACTATACAAGTGTGCTCTATACACCTCTCCATCTGGCTGTTCATCCTTTATCATAGCCTTTAATATAATAAACTAATAAAAAGTGTTTACCTGAGTTGTGAGACATTAGAGCAAATTATCAAACTTGAGTGGGTCATGAGAACTACTAATCTGAAGCCAAGTCAAACAGAACATAGGTAACCTGGGGACCCACTACTTGTGACTGGTGTCTAAGGTAGGAGTTTTGTGGGACTGAGAATTTAGCCTGTGGCGTTTGATGCTAACTCCAGGTAAACGGTGTCAGAATTGTAGAACACCCAGCTGATGTCACAGAACTGGCTGTATACAGGGAAAAAAA